TCAAGCACATAACAGATGTTTAATAAATACTATACCAGGCTAAATAAATAATTAAATGGATACATTATATCTGAATATGCCAATCATAATATTCTGTAATCTTCCCTTACTCAGAATATCTATCTTAAATTCTTTTTTTAATGTTTTATTTATTTTTGAGAAAGAGAGAGAGACAGCGTGAGCAGGGGAGGGTCAGAGAGAAAGGGAGACACAAAATCCAAAGACAGGCTCCAGGCTCTCAGCTGTCAGCACAGGGCCTGACACAGGGCTCGAACCCATGAACTGCAAGGTCATGACCTGGGCCGAAGTCAGACGCTCAACCAACTGAGCCACCCAGAGGCCTCTTTCCTAAATTCTTTTTGCTGTTCAAAGTAGCTGATGTTTCATTTCCTCACCATACATCCCCATGTCTCACAGATCATCAATGTAATATGAATCAATGGTGCAATATGCAGCTTAAAAAAATTCATGGATTTTAGTCTTTGCTAAAAGAAGTATTTTATTCAGAAGATAATATGTCTTAACATGCACATGTACAATTCTGTACTTTTCCCCCACTGCTTACCTAGTCTTTATCTTTTCTGATAGTTTCCTTAACTCCTGCTAATAGTCATACTGAAAACTTCCATTCTATCTCCAGATTTCGCTAACACTATTTAAGCAAAAATAATAAATTTCTCACCTGTGACTTTAAAATAACTGTACAGACTATTCCCATTTTGCTAGAATTACATGCATGCCTCTGTCCTTCCTGTTCTGAGCTCTTTTAGAGTCAGACCTGTGCCTAGTTCATTCTTGTCTTCCTAACACTTCACAGAATTTTAAGACAAAGACATGCTTAAGAAATCATGAATCAATAAATACTCCACCACCGGCCAAACAAATCACGGTGAATTTACAGCACACATGTACCTTAACAGAGACTCATTCAAAGATACAGAGACATGAGAGAGACCAAGAGAACGTCAGGGGCACAAATGGAATTGCAGACAGAAACACTGTTGCGCACCTACCTAGGAGATGCAAATAGACTCACACTCACCTGAGAGAGCTTTGTGAAGTAGCCTGGATTGAAAGAGGGTGGGCCAGAACTCACAATGGCAAGGGAATGAGCCTGGGGCAGGCACCAGCCAAGAAACTAGGTGGATTCCATGTCTCTGAATGAGAGTCCCCAGAGCCCAGGACCCTGGGGTCCTCGTTGTGCCTGAGGGTGATGCTGAACTGGTGATGGGGAAAGGAGGGAGATGAGACCTTGCCTTGGGAACAGAAGGAAAAGAAAAACATAACTCGCAGAGATCCTTTCCTCTCCCCACACCAAAAATAAAATCCCAACTCCTTCCCCATGATGAAGATGGAGACAAATTCCTATGAGCTCCATGGCAACATCCCCTCTGCCCTCAATTATCCAATTTCAAAACTGGAACTCTGAGCCCAGAACACAGGGTCTAAATTCTGGGCTTAAAAACTATATTGCAGGCAGAACCTAAAGTTTAGACCCCAGTGGACAAACTGCAGGACTCAGAGCTCAAGAGAAGAGATCTTGGAGCTCAGGATTCCACCAATAGGGGATATAACCAAAGCTTCCTTTAACCATTTATCATGACTGTTCCTTACTCAATTCTCACTCCTGTCCCTACTACTCAACCTCTCACCAAGCTCCACAAGATGAAGGTCTCCTCCAGGAGAGACGATCCCAGGATACTTGAAAGGGTTCAAGTTCACACAGATGTAGGTTTAAGTCCAAGCTTTACCATCTATCACCTTCATATTTCAAGAGACTAGCATTTTGTCAACTCAGAACCTAATTTACAAGGCGGATAGTACCTATCTATAGGGGTAGACTTTCTAATGAAAAGAAGAAAGTGACATTTTTAATGTGATTGTACCACACATGATAATTATCCTTATTATAAATTCTAATGGAGACCCAAATTTCAGATCCCTCTCATAAATCCTTTCCCCCAAATACCTAGACTTCTCATTAAGTATTTCAGTTGACCTCTTCCTTATTTCAATTTCAAATAGGTGTAGGTGTATTTCAGGGAGGAAGAGCAGGAGAACTCTCTCCCCTTTTTTTTTTAAATTTTTAATGTTTATCTATTTTTGAGAAAGAGAGAGAGAAACAGAGTGCAGGGGGGGGGAACAGACAGAGAGGGAGACACAGAATCAGAAGCAGACTCCAGGCTCTGAGCTGTCAGCACAGGGCCTGATGTGGGGCTGGAACACACAAACTGTGAAATCATGACCTGAGCCAAAGTCAGATGCTTAGCCAACTGAGTCACGCAGGCGCCCCTCTCTCCCTTTTCTTTATCAAGAGGTAGGGTGCATAGGGAAAGCAAAGAGAATATGGATATAGAGTAAGTTTTCCCTTCCCCACATGGAACTTTGAAGTGTCTCAGAGAGTCAGTTTAAGAGTGACTCCTACTTTCCCGTTATTGTAGAATTGTTTGCATTAGATTAAAGAGTTGGGAACCTGGAGATGGAATTCAGGAGAACACAGATGACAGCTTTGTGAATAAGGTCACAGAATCACAGGGGAAAAAGAGACCTTAAAATGCCTCAGACTTGGCATTAGTCCCTGGTGAGAAGGGAACAGGCTTTCAAAAGTCATACAGCAAAGTGACTCTAGTTATGTCATTAGGGACAACATAATGGGGAACAGGTATCAGATCAGATCCAATTCATTCATTTAACTAGTCACTTGGCTGTTCATTTATTTAACATGTATAGGGTGTAGCAACACTGTGCTAGGTGTAGGATTTTAGGTTTGACTGCCATTGTCTCTCTTGTTTTGACTTTTGAAAAGTCCTGTTTTTAAGAATCAGTTTCTGCCTCCATTTAATGACAGGAAAAGTCAAGAGAAACTTTAAGTACTTGCTCAGAGTGATCATACTAAATATAACATCTGTACAAATAACAAAAGGGGCTTATGAAGTATAAGTGTTAAAGGTCATCTATGGGGAAATTATGAAACACATTCCCCCACAAAACTCAAAGAGAGGAATCAATTCACCCTGTGGAATGGAAGTGAGATTTTCCAGAGCATAACGAAGCAAAGACTGGTACAATGCAGGTAAATGTTTGGTGTAGAAGTCTATAACCACATTAAGCAGATCTCTTCTAAAAATAGAAATATTCCCTCCAGAAAAAAGTTCATAGACTTAGTAGAAAAGAGAGAGAAACCTCAGAAGATGTGTTGGACAGGGAACTTGGACGTATTGAAATCCCAGTGACACAGAACAGTTGCAAGGTCCCACGTACTACTGTGAGAGCCAAGTGATTTCCACACACACACACACACACACACACCCCCACCGGGTTCTAACTGCCTATAGGGCAGCCTTAAAATTGGAGCTTTCCTGAATTTTGGGTTCCAGATAAGTTGTGATGGCATGGGGACAAAGAGACTCACAGGATGGAACCGGGGCCTCAGAGTGACTATGGGCTGGCTGGTGATTGTTCATCAAATCCTTTGTGAATCTATTTCAGTGTTCCCACTTCGTGGAGATAAAAAGCTGTAAGTCTGCCTTTCTTTTCACTACCAGCACCATATGACTAGTTGTCCTGCACTCAGTCTCCCTCAGTTTTATTTTCTAAATGTTTATTTATTTATTTTGACAGAGAGAGATGTATGGCAAGGAGAGGCAGAGAGAGGAGACAGAGAATCCCAAGCAGGCTCCATGCTGTCAGTGCAGAGCACAGTGCAGGGCTTGATTCCACGAACTGCGAGATCATGACCTGAGCCAAAATTAACAGTAGGAAGCTCAACTGACTGAGACACCCAGACGCCCTCCCCAGGTTTAAAAACCACCCATGATCTGATTAGGCGATCTCTCAAGATCGTGTTTCCCAAGCTTCTCAATGTGAAACTTCCCCTTTGTCTAAACAAAGCTATTTGCAATTTTCCTAAATACCCTAGACCAATATTCTAGGTTAAAGCTTCTCTCAAACTTTGACGTATATCAGGATTACCTGGAGTGCTTATTAAAAACACAGACTGGTAGACCTCACCCCCCAGAGTTTCTGGTTCAGGAGATCTGAGGAAGGGGCTGAGAATTTGTATACTTACCAAGTTCCCAATCATGGCTTGATGATGCTTGTCTGGCAATCACACTTTGAGAAACACTTTTCCAGATTCTTGTAACTCAGGAGTCTTGCTCTTTTTGTTACATATCAGATAGGCATTACCTGAAAGATGTCTGAAAGAGTAGCACTGTGCTTCTCAAGCTTTAGCCATTGAATAGACTATATTTAGTCTTATTAAATACAATTTGAATCCAGTAGGTTTTGTGCGAGGTCTAAGATTCTGTTTCTCCAAAAAGCTACCAGGTACACCAGTATGGCTCTTGTCCAGTAGGCCACACTTGGAAAAGGAAGGTTCTAGCCTTCTTTTGCCTAAATATGTCTTCTCAAGCAGTTCTTTATGCTATTTTTTTCTAAGATCATTATCTTCTTTTTTTCCTGCCACCCTGTACCAAGTATGCTAACCTTACCTCTCATCCTTCACAAGCTACTTTACACACACACACACACACACACACACACACACACACACTTATCCTGACCTCCACAAACCAAATGGCTCCTCTCTCTCGCATGAAGCACCAAGCCTCTACAGAATTTTGTCTCCAATGTTTATTATTTCCCCCACTCCAGGTAGGAGTAGAATTATTTGTGCTTAGCCTATTTCCTCCATAAAACTTCAATTGTTTCCATATGTCAAATATTTTTCAGGGCATCTGTTACTCTTTTATGTTTTATCCTTGAAATGTCTATCTCTTACTTAACAATATACCTTGTTCGCCATTTGCAACATTCTTGGCGACTAGCACTAGTTTTTTCACATGGTTAATGTTTAATACATATTTATGTCCTTTTATTGAGTCAGCTGTTCTTTTATTTGTATATTCACAACTGTCAAGATCCTGGTTCCCGTCCCCATGTCTTAGCATTCCTCAAGCTGGCAAACAAGTCCACATCTTTTCTTTCAGTAGCCTTCCTCAGCACTGCAATTTATAGAGGATTTTGAGGACCGCTCTGCGTATCTCCTTTGTCTTCACACTGTAGATGATGGGGTTGAGCATGGGGGGTACAAACAGGTAGATGTTGGACATCATGACATGAACGACAGGTGGGGCACTCTTCCAGAAGCGGTGGATCATGGAGACAGCAATTATGGGCACATAAAAAGCCAGCACTGCACAGATATGTGACATGCAGGTGTTGAGTACCTTGAGCCGCTGCTCCTGGGATGCGATGGCCAGCACGGCTCTGAGGATCCACGCATAGGAAAGCAGGATGAATGCGGAGTCTACGCCATAGGTGAAAATGACCACAAACAGCCCATAGATGTTGTTAACATGGGTGTCTCCACACGCCACTTTCATGAGGTCTGGATGGAGGCAGTATGAGTGATGCAGAATGCTACCCTTGCAGAAGGGCAGCCGTTTGACCAGAAAAGGGAAAGGGAAGAGAGTGACAAAACTCTTGGTGAGGATGCCCAGGCCCATGGCCAGGATGCGGCCATTGGTGAGCACAGTGGCATAGTGCAGTGGGTCACAAATAGCCACAAAACGATCAAAGCTCATGGCCAGCAGTATGCCTGATTCCATGAAGGAGAAAGTGTGGATGAAGAAGAGTTGGGCCAGGCACATATCTGCTGCCACCTGTCTGAGACCCAGCATGTAGAAGGGGAGCATGGTGGGCAGCGTGGAGGCAGACAGGCCCAGATCAGTCACTGCCAGCATCGACAGGAAGTAGTACATGGGCTGGTGCAGAGTAGGCTCTCGAACCACCAGAGTGAGGATGCTGAGGTTGCCTATGATGGAAATCAGGTAGAGAATGCAGAAAACCAGGGCAACCCAGGCATGGCCTATCTGCATCCCCGGAATACCTATCAGCTGGAGTGTGGCTGGCTGGAAGGGGGTACCATTGAGGCCCAACATGGCAGGCAGGTGGGAGAATACAGATGGGGGATGAGCCCCTGAGGGTGCGTTGGGGGAGCTCTTCACTTTCTTTCAGACATCCTGTCTCCAACACAAAAGGTTAGAGGTGGAAAGTGTTGATCTATGTTCCTGCTTCTCCCATCAGACTATGAGCTCTTTGAAGATAGTAACTGGGTTCTACTCTTTTCTAAATCATCAGTGCCCAGCACCCAGTCTAGGCCATAGTAGGAGCTCCATGAAGGTGTGATGATCAGGTGAGTGCCCATGACGTGGCAAGCCAACCAGGTAGGAGACAACAGCAATGATGCTCCCTCATCTTCCCCTTAAAGTGCACCATCCCTTCCTGTCCCCAGTCTCACCCCAGAAGCCATATTCTGGAAAATCGGGACAAATAGAAATTAAGATAAACAGGGGAAAGGAAACACCACCCATTCCTTTGGGAGCCATATCGTCAATGGTGTAGATGAAACCTCTCCCGCTGTAAACATACAGCTTCAATAAGCTTTACTCAGACTTCTCAGGCTCACAATCTCATGGCACACCCCAAACATGTCATCACGAGAAACGGTCCCACCTCTGAAATCTTAAAGATTTTTTTTCTTTATCACCATAGCCTACTACCTTCAACCTCTCCTACCTTCTCATGCCCATGTACTTGCTCTCAGAGTCTCAATAATTCTTCCATATTTTTCTGGTCTATTTGTCTATGAGCCCCTCCTCACTTTTTCTCTGACCTACTCACACTGGGACTGGTATCTTCATCTTCTCTTTGCTTCTCTTTCACGATCACACAGGAAACCCCAACCTTTAATAAATTCTATAACCAAACTTCCAGGTGTACAGCTGGATAAAACCAAAGAAGCAAGTGTTTGATTGGAGAAGAGAGAGACAGACAGACAGACTGATTTTACCGCTACCTAAATTTTAAACTCAACATCTTTATCTATTCTTATCCCCTTGGCTTTCTGAGAAAGAGATGTCTCACCTTCTCTGAGGCCAGGCCCTCCACCTTCAGCATTCGATGTCTTGTTATCTCTTTCAGAGACCACTTCCATTAGTCTATTGCATTGTATCTTCAGCCTCTCCATTTCTGTCTCTTTCCTCTCAGGCAATAAGCATGTGCAAGACCAGCCCATCAAGGGGACATATCCTTTCCTCTCTTGCTGTCAATCTATTACCTTCCTTAATTCTTAGTCAAACTTCCTGGAACACTGTCTTTCTGGATGCCATGGAAAGGAGTTTGTTCATGTCTGCTTTTCCAGTTCCGTTCTGAGATCCTGAGAGTCAAGGTTGACCTTACCTTCTATCATCTTTCAATTTACTGTGCTGTGGTGTCCACACTTCCCCCTCCCAAATTCCCAAAAAGTGAATTTCTCTCTGCTCACTGGAGAGCCCTTTGTTGCTTCATCCATTTGAGCTCTCTACCAAAGTTAACATTGTTGGCAACTCTGTTTTCTTCTACCTTGGCATATCTTTCTGTAGCTTCTTTATTGACTCCTCTTTCTTTGTCTTTCTCCAGAAAGACACTCTAACTCCATGAAACCCATGTCACTCAAACTCCAGAAAGAGTAAACAATAGTTGGAATGGTGCAGAATGAGAAACCATACCATTAAGGGCTTCATCTCAGTCTTTATCCAAAATATCTCTGTAACTGTATTTTGTACGATACTTGATATCTTACAGATATCTCTATTCTGTAGAGAATAGGGTAGTGGTTGCCACGGGCTGAGGGATGGGGTGGGAGGGAAACGGGGTGAGGTTAGTCAATGGGCACAAGCTTCCAACTCTGCAATGAGTAAATTGCAGCATGGTAACTCTAACTCGTGCTGTGATAATACATACTTGATAGTTGTCAAAAGAGTAGATCTTAAATGTCACCTCACACACACACACACACACACACACACACATACAGGCAACATGAAAATTACATAAGGGAATGGAGGTGTGAACTAATCTTATTGTGGGGATCATTTTGGAATATAAATGTATACCAAATCATCACCTCATAGACCCTAAACTGACATATGTTAAATGTCAATAAATCACAATAAAACTGGAAAATTTTGTATTAACAATTTAAAACAAAAATAAATTTCCACTTTTGAATTTAGGGTAATTACTCCCTTATTTTCTTCTAACAACTCCTTATTCTTTGGAAATTCTAGAGTTTTCATCTTTTTCCTAGTCCTCTTAGTGAATATAGTGAAATTAGATGATGCCTGGCAACTGGACAACACCCAGGTATTAGTGCTGAAAGTATGAGGGCCATGAGAAGGAATTTGTCTCTTCCTTTGTTTTCTGTCCTCCAAATAAGAATCCAAAAGAAGTGAAGTGGTAGGATTTCTTTTCCCTACTCCCCCTATAAACTTCTCTCTTTCCCTTACCCAGGCTTAAAAGCCAAGTCTCTAAGAAGTCTTCTTAGATCTAGCCTATCCAGCTTTGTTCTTTTATCATCTTCACTCCACTATTACTTCCACGTACTGAAGAAATGGAAAGACTCTTCAGAGCACCAGCAGATACTAAGGTCTCTCTCACAACAGAGAGATACCCCACTGTCCTTGAATCCAGGTATGCAAATTTAGGTAAACCAGAAGGGCGTAGTTCATCCATGCTCCAGACTTTCCTCAGTCTAGAGAGCAACCCTGAAAACTTGTACCCCAAAGGAAACATGCTCTGCCACCACATAATGAACGCTTTTCATTGTATGGGTGGAAAGTGTGTCAGTTAAAGGTGCCTAAATGTGATTCCCCTAGAAAGAAAAGTCAGGAGGATAGAGAAAGACACAACAAGGTGGTTCTCTTGAGCAGGATGTGGATGAGCATGGACACATGCGTGGTCACACAAAAGTACCATTAAATATACATGCTTACACACCTGCACATACTAGGGTACTCAGATATTCAGAAAGACTATCTCATATCACACCGACAGAAACTATCATGCACTCCTTTGGTCACACATAACATGATCACAACCACAGACGTTAGGAAGACTCCAAGCTACTCACTGACATTATACAGTATGTGCGAAATATCCTCTCATATTTATACGCTTCAGAACACAGACTTGCAAACATGCACACACATTCACATATACACACGGTGCCACAAACAACACATCAGTAATAACAGACCCCCAGTAATATCTCTACCAATTATATTGCCATGACAGACTCAATACTAATCTCCCAGCTAAGATTGAATGCCACATGACTGAATGACTTCAATTCATTTGGTTCTGTGATTTTTTTTCTCCAGCTGCATACCCAAAAGGTTAGGTGTATGAGGCAATAATTCAAATTGCAGGCAAATGAAAGTATGGACAAAATCTAGATCTGATACCTCTAGATCTCCTCAGCCTTAGAGGTTTACAGTTTGGTATCAGGGTTTTGGTTCAGATGGAACCTGGCCTCAGTAGCTGTGATCCTTGACTTTGCAGGCCAGAAGATTTGGTTCATGTCCAGAGGAGAAATGTGAGGGTCAGAGTCCACCTGGGGTTGCAGTAGGAGTGTTAAAGCTTGGGACAACTTCCAGACATGGGGCCCACATGGGCAACCCAAAGGAAGGGCACTCACTGGGTGTCAGACGGTTCTTTTCCCTGTAGCTGGATGCGCTGGTCTGGGAGTCCAGCTGGCAGAGCAGCAGCAACTCACTCTCCTGTGACTCAAAAATTTATGCCTACCCTAGAATCCCAAAGCTCGTTCATCCGTGGTAGGAGGAGGAGAAAGCAGAAACAATGGACAAGATGGTATCCATGGGTAGTGAGCTGGGCCATCTGAGAACTGCTCCCAAGAGAATCCCGTTCTTGGCCTCATCAGCCCTGATGTCATCATCCATATCCGTTACTATATTAATTAACCTTTCCTTGACCAGAGGATGAAAACAGATGTATGCAAAATATGCATAGTCATAGACATTCTGAGACTCCCACAGACACAACTCTAGACACGGTTAGCCATTTCTTTACCAACATTTGCACTGCTTCTTTTTGATCCATACACAAACAGAAAAACACAAATACACTCAGTTGCTCAATGCTCTAATCACCAATCACATATCTTGACACATCAAACACACACTGCAATCTCTGTATTCTTACACTGATTATAGAGATTATAGAGACTGATTATAAGGGTCATTGGAGACTCATATAAATACTTGAAAAAACAAGCAAATATATTCCTGTGATCACATATCCAAAAGTATACATTACAAACATATCCACATTCTCATTAAGAGACCAACAAAATATCCAAGGACTTTACATCATCACCACATCTATTCACAGATTTCACATATGGAGTTTAAATGCATTGCATATTTTTTGTAAAAATGCATGTCAGCACCTACAAACATACTTCTTATGTAAGCATTCCTTTACTCCAACACTGCATGGAAACTAAAAATTACAAATTTCATTCAATTCAACTCAAACCCAAGACAAAAATTAAAAACCACATTTCTGAGCATTTTTCTCCTCCAGGTATTATTTCAAAGTGTATATTATACAGAGCAACCTTGCCTATTCTTGCAAAGATAAATACTGGAAAACTGATCCTTTCAGCAGTGCAGACAAATACGCCTCAGAGACTAGCTAGAAATATCTCAGAAACATATTTCACAAGGAAATCGAAGCATTTGTCAAAATGTATCTAACATAAGATCTGTGCATTATGTGCTTGAACAAAATCAAAGAACAACATAAAATATCAAACTTCAATTAATGATCTGAATGATGCAATATTTAGGGAGAAGGGAGATGCCTCAGTAAGATAAATGGGCTGATGGATGATAGTGGAATGGATATGTCCGTAGATACAGGATAAAGCAAGCAGAATCAAATATCAGTGATCTGTGACAAGTAGACTGATGTTCACTGTCAAATTAGTTCAAGTTTTCTGTGTTTGAAATTTTACAAGATAAAACATTGGGAATTTTTGTTTAGGACTTGGGCAGTAGCCCGCTCCAACCTGAGATCTCCAGTATGCCGATCCTCC